CTTACTATCTGCACCAAACAGATTATCATGCTTTGCATTATAAAGCTTTTTGCAAGTTGTGCTGAATCCTTATTTAGTAATGTTATGAAGCATTGCTGACTCTCAGAGGGATAGATTTGGAAAATCAGATACAGTTATTTGGGTGGATGTATTTGTAAAAATAGGAAACATTGATTCGAAAGGTGTATACATAATTCAAAATGTGCCTTTTTAGAAGCAGCAGCTGAACAATTATTCTGCTATTTTCTCGAAAGGTCATGGGCAGTTTTACCTATGTACCATAAAGGGTAAATGTTGCTCAGCTGAAACTTTTTTCATGTCCAAGGTTACTTTATTCTTTTTTAAAAGATTTCAGACTTGCTTTTCAGAGTGTGCTACCCTCTCAAAGTATTGCAGTATTACAAAAGCATCAACATACAATTACACTTAGAGAGAGAGAATGGATAATTGGAACAGCAAATTATTTTAACACATCACATGTAATAACAGTTCAATCCCTTTTTTCCCCAAAACCAGCAGCAATGAAGCAATAGAGATTTATCTGAGTAGAGAGTTCCAAAGGTATCGGGCTACCACGAAAGAAGTCATATTGACCTTAATGCTTGGGCAGCCTCATATCGGTATAGACAGTTCCTCAGGTAATGCGGTCCCAAACCATTTAAAGCTTTGAAGGCTAAAACCAGCACCTTGCTTTGGGCTGGAAATTAACAGGAAGTCAATATTAGTGATAAAGAGCAATTTGATCAGAGTCCCTAACTCTCCCAAGAGTTTTAGGTGTCATTTTAGCTGCTGGTTAGCTGCTGTGCTATTTGCAATTTTCAAATAGTCTTCAAAGAGCAACTTCTGTAGTTTAATCAACACATAATCAAGACATGTATTCCTATTTTAGCTTTAGGTTAGTTTTCTCTCCATAGGGCCAGAGCTGCTGAACTATGCTGTGGAAAAGCACTCCTGGCAGATGATATAACCTGCACCTTTATGGATGGGGGTGACCTCCATCCAAAGTTAGATCTAAACCTCTGTGCTGATTTCTAAACACATAGTACTTCTACTCTATCTTGATTAAATATCAGCTAGTTAGCCTTCATTCCAGTTCTACCCCCAGACATTCTTCCAGGGTTTCAGCTTCCTGGAATGAGACAGTAGAAAAGGGGTAGAACTACATATCATCTGCATTATGTTAACACCTCAGTCCAAACCTCCAGATCACTTCACACAGAGGTTTTATATAGATTTTGAAAAAGCAAATGTCAATTGCCATAGGGAGTAGCAAAAGCTGGGTAGCAATAACATCTGCTTTAGACCTGCCAAGAAGGGGAGGCATATTATTTATAGCTTCAGCTGCTTTCCTTTAGATATGCTGTAATCATGACATTGCTATTATTTTGTTTAGCAATATGGACTATACCCAGAGAAACTACATGACTTTGTTAACTAGGTCTTTAATTCTAGTGCTGCCCTGCATTTTAAAATTTGTTTCCTGATAAATGCCTTTTCTTCACTCCAAAATTAATACCTCATATATTTCTTTTTGAATTCATGAAAGTCTCTCAGTATAAGCTGTAAAAAAACCCTAAAAACTGAGTAAAATCTAAAATTAAAACACTAGTTTTTGACTTAGAACAGTTTTACTTTTCTTTTGAAGGTAGAACTGCTACTTAAAAAGCCAAGCAGTAAGTGAACTTTCAGCCTGGAGTGAACTTTAACATGGGGGAAATTAACTTTATAACACAATATTTAACTTTAACCTGGGTTAAAAATTCTCTTACCTGTTGCTATCTTTGAAGAGCTTTCAAAACAGTTTGCATTTTACTCAGTACTGTGTTTTCATAAATGTATGTACACCATTCATTCCTTAATGTGAAATGCAGTGCTGTGTGTTTTGCAGTCACAAAACTGTATGCCTGCAGTGTGCGCTTAGTAAATCAATTTCTGTTCTTTCAGCTGAACTATTAAGACATGTAGTTGAAAGTATTTTAATGCATATTCAGATTCAAAAACAGAAAAGCAGATGACTTTCCCACAGAAACACTGTTGGGTTACAATGCCTGGCTTCAAAACTAATTAAGCACTAGGGATATGCTATCGTTCCCCAAACCAGAATGCTCAAAGTGATCTAGAGATGTACATTGAAAACCGTGATGTCTCAAAACTAGAAATTGTTGTAATAATGGGTGACTTCACATTGGCTGAATAATGCATTTTCCAATTCTGAAAAAGAGGTTTATTTCTCCATTTCCCAAATTACTGTATACTAGAACAGTTTGTCATGGAACCATTCAAAGGGGAAGCACTCCTGGATTTAATCCTAGGTGGGGTTGCCCAGGAACTAGTATGAGATGTAAATGTTGTTGAACCAGCTGGAAACAGGGAACACACTACATTTAAATGGAAGATTGGCGAAGAGGCCTAACACTATCACATTTGACTCCAAAAGAGGAAGGTTCTCTAAAATGAAGGAACTGGTCAAAAGAGTTGGAAAGGGGAGTCAAGAAGCTTAATTCTTGACTAGAGATCACAACACAATAATAGAAGCACAGATACTATATATACTATAAATTAGGAAAGATAACATGAAGTCCAAAAGGTTGCTAGCATGGTTAATGAACAGTGTCAAGGCAGTGATAGAGGAAGGCTTCCTTCAGAAAACGGCAGTCTTGTCCAAATGGGAAAAACAAAAAGGAACTCAAGTTTGCACAAGGAGAAGCAAGCAGAATCTAAGAGATGCATAAAAGTGCACTGAGGCGCATATTGCCATCATCATCAAGGCCAACAAGAAGGCATCCTGCCTGTTGTTCTGGAACTACATAACTTAAGGGAAACCCACTTGGGAATTTTTCGTTGGCCGCAGGACTAAGGCCAGTGGTTATAGTATAATGGACATTGAAACGTGTCATTCTCAATTAAATGGGTTTGGATCCTACTGTCTGTGAAAGTTTGTCAGTCCCCCAGTATTGCTCCCATAATAATACTCAACTTACTGTGCTATACTTATAGTACTTGAACACATAATTCCTCCCAATGTTTATCTAGAAACAAAGCCTCTAATGCACTGTATGCAAGCTGGCTGACTTGTCTACTTCACAGGATCAAACAGCCCATGACTAAGAAATCATGCATTGTTTGTATATTCAAGCAAACTGGCTCCCACCCACTTAAGTTTTTTGAAGGCTTCCCATTCCTGGATTGTTGTGTCACATGAACCTGGCACTTTGGACTATTTAGGGTTAAACATCCAGCATTTTAATCAGTGGTTTGTTGTTGGGCTAAAACTCTAGGTTAACTTGACCTTAAACAATCTACAGTGCTGGGACTGTATGGCTGGGCAACCCAGAAATGGAGTGTTCTTCATTAATTTGCTATGAGTAGAAATAGCTGGCATCCATACTTTTGGCTTGTGGCAAATGAAGAGTAATTGTAGGGACAAAGAAAAATGTCTAACCAAGTGAAAAAAATCCCAATGTAGTTATGTTTAGATAAATCTGCAAACATTGGATGAAACATAGAAACAGAACGAGTCAGAAGGAGCCTCCCAGGCCATCTAGTCTGACCTCCAGCTCTGTCGGTTGTCCCTTCAATGCTGATAAGCCCCCAGATTTTGACATTTATTAGCATCTAGTGCAGAGCACTTTCAGTCTGCCTTTTAGACAGCTGTGTTTGGCTGCAAGGTGGGGTGAGGGATCAGAGTAGATTTCTAGCTCCAAGGCTGGAATTCTGATTCCAAGCTCAGTTAGGGACTCTTGAATATCCTATGTGCTCCCTTCCCCACAGGCAAAGTATGGGCCATTGGTTTGCTCTCCCCACCTATTTCCTACAAATAGGTGTTTAGACTCCTAGGTATGAAAACAAATATAATATACAATTCTCTAAATAGTGTGATATAATTTAAATTATAAACTGTGGATTTAAATAAAGTGTATCAGCACTCTCTTGGAACAAGCGCTTTACCAGAATAATTGAATAACATCAGCTGAGCTTCAGCCTGAGCTCTAAGATGGAAGTATTTGTAGTTAAACCACAAGTATATTCCAGTATTAAAATATGTTACTTATTTAGTCTGATGCCAGGCATTTTATCTGCTCTAAATTGGGGAGGGGGGCAGGGAAAGGAGCTTGTGAAATGGTGTTTGTTTTCAGGAGATTGAAACCAGGTCATTTGGCTGCCATCCAGGTATTTGGCAGCAGTAGGTTCACTGGCTGTTTGCCCTTCCTCATTCTAATATACTGAAACTTCAGAAGGAAAAAATGTGTTATAGAATTACACTTTGACTAAAGAATTTTAAGTACATACTTCATAAGCCATTGTCATGTCTTTTAAATGCTTTGGGTTGTGCTTTTCCAGTATAAACTTATCTGCTAAAACTCCCAAGAGCAAGGGTATTCTGGTCAAGAGCCATGTGTTAGGCTGAGGGGTACACAGAACAAAATACAGGCATATGAAAGTCTCTTGACATGCTGTTATATGTGAATACATTTCTGTCAAGAAGAATGTATTAGGGATATCTCATATACAGGCCGGGATGGGGCACATGCTTAAAGAAGCTTCTCTGACTCTCTTCTGCAGCTTCAGCTTTGGAGAAAATGGCAATCTCTGCATAGAGACCAACAACAAGAATGTTGGGGTTGGCACATGTGGCTACATTTGCTCTGGAAAACCTTATGAGGCCAAACTGTGCCTTTTATAAAATCCATCCTTACTTGATACATTCCTTAGAGGGTACTGGAATCAGGTCAAGAACCATGGTGGAGTCAGAAGACAATGGCTATAGTGCATGTGATTCCCACTATTGATCTACCATCTCTTTACTACCTTGCTCTCTTGTTTCTTTTTGTCCTTGGAATTGTTGATCTACTTATAAAGTGGTTATTTACAATACTGACAAATACCACACTTGACAAAAAACCACATATTGCATTTTTGATGGGCAGTTTGCTAACCTATGGCTTGTTTCTTTACCCCCCCCCCCCTTCCCTCTCTCCTTCCCTCCTTCTCCTCTTCAGAAGATGCAGACTACAGTGCCTTCGGGACAGATACCTTGACAAAGAAGAAAAATGTCTTATCAAACGTCTTGCGTCCAGATAACCATAGAAAGAAGCCACATATTGTTATTAGTATGCCTCAAGACTTTAGGCCAGTATCTTCTATCATAGATGTAGACATACTTCCAGAAACACATCGCAGGGTGCGACTCTATAAATATGGAATTGACAAGCCTTTAGGATTTTATATACGAGATGGTTCTAGTGTCAGAGTAACACCCCATGGGCTAGAGAAAGTACCAGGGATTTTCATATCCAGGCTTGTTCCTGGAGGCTTGGCTCACAGCACAGGGCTACTAGCTGTCAATGATGAAGTTCTTGAAGTGAACGGCATAGAAGTTTCAGGGAAAAGCCTTGACCAGGTTACAGACATGATGATAGCAAACAGTCGTAACTTGATAATTACTGTGAGACCAGCAAACCAGAGAAACAATGTTGTTAGGAACAGCCGGACTTCTGGTAGTTCAGGGCAGTCCACAGATACCAGCCTACCAAGTTACACTCCACATACTGTGCCAAGTTATTACGCTGAAGAAGAAGAAGAAAGTGATGAAGAGGATATCATTATTGAAGATAATGGTGAACCACAACAAATCCCAAAAGCTGCTCCTTCCAGTGAAAGCCTGGAGTCATTGACACAAACTGAAACCTGTCAAGAATCAATACAAAATGGTGTCCTATCTTCCAGAGAAGGAGATTTGTATTGTTCAACAGGCAGCATTAATATGGACTATGAAATTCAGGACTTGGACCAAAAGACCTTAGAAGAAGATGGGACAATCATAACATTGTGAAAAAACATGTTATTTGCTTATTGTAATTAAGAGGCCATAACATTTTTTTAATTAGGCTGTACTTATGCAATGTATACCTCTCAATTTCCATGTTCCATTGGCTTTTTATGTCTGCAGAATGGAGCTGTGATTCACATCCTTTGCTCCATTTTATCATGTAGCTGAGTAAATTGTATTTTTGAGACATGGAGTGGTTCTTGTGTTATAATTTCAAGACTCAACAGTGTTTCCATAACTAAACATTGGGCAGATGTATTGTTCCAAATGTCAGTGTACATAGCTTGTTTCAGACTGAAGAAGGAGCACCACAGCTCATAATTCTTGTGATACAACTGCATGTGTGAGCATATGTGGAAATTCATCTTGAAATCCTATGAGAACCAGCTCAAAGAGCACATTGTTTTACTACAAGAATATTAGTTGAAAATGCACATTGACTGCAACCATTTTAGCCATTCCTGTTTCAATAATGTATTAAAAGATTAGGGAATAATGAATTTTAATTAGGGTATAAAATTTGTAAAACGGGTTACAAAAACTAGGAGAGATAACCATTGAAAATATTGATGCAGTGGATAGTTGAGAGGTATACCTTTTTTCCATTTTTTCTTATGGATCCCTGACTATATGGGTGGGTGCTGGAGCATCAGATAACTCATTAAAAAGCAATTAACTTGCTTTCTGGTCTTACCATGCATGACTGTGTGCATATGTCCTTTAATGAGAGAAACTGTGATTTTCAAATGTGATACAGTCTTGGTCTATTAAAATCAGTAGAATATTATGTTGATTTCAGCAGGAGTTTCAGGGCTGTTATTGGCACTTGTCATCCTTGAGTTTCTGTCAGAATCCACTACTAATGCCTGCCCGCCTTGCCAGCTTTATTTTCTGGTTCCATGCTCTGATCATTGCCAGGTGGCAGGATCTAGCCATCCTTATAATTCCAATAATGCCCCAAGCTACCATTGCTATGGGTCTTTTTAGAAGCATACTTAAATGTAGCTGCTCAATGCTGGCAGGAACATTGTAATCACAGCCAAAGAAGAGGTCACTTTGTCTAAGGCACCCAACCTGTAACTAGTTCTATTGCAACCTTAATGTGAAAAGTTTAAACTCTTCCTCTTGTACCTTAATGGGTTCCTTTCATTTATGTGCATGGTACTACTGCTTATGTTATGGAATGGATTACAGATGGCAGTATGTCTGAATTGAAATGCAAATTCTAACTATATTTGCCTATCAGTTATATAATTCTTTTTTAAAAAGATGGAAAGGCTCTGCTGTGCTGGAAGAGGTCCTTCAAAAAGACAAGTTCTGTAACATATGCAACCTCAGACGTGAATGTGGTCCTTCGGGAGTCTCAGTCTCCCTCCCCTGATATCACCCTTTACCTTTTCCCACCCGCTGATCATTTGGTGGCTTCCTGACTTTTATGCTGTCTTCCTCTCATTCTAATGGGTTGAAATGGCTCTCCTAAGGCTTACCTACTGGGAGAAACAGCTTTAAGCTAAATTAGGCTGGTATTTTTGCCCTTCTTCCTTTTAGCCCTGCCCACCATGGGAATGCAGCCCTTGAAAGCTTCTCTAAATTAAACTTCAGTCCTCAGACTATGAGATGCTCTGCACCCCAGGTCTCTGTGTATAAATAAGCCAATCTAAATATTTTATCTGCATTGCTTTCCCTTCAACAAAAGCTTTCTTTTTATAAAACTCTTAGCAAAAGAAATCTTTAGGGTATATGGCTATCATTTTTTATTCATACAAGTATGACTGAAATATAGCCCACTTGGGAGTGGTTCAACAAACACAGATGGCCACCTTGTCATACACCTTATCATCATGGGTCTATTATGTTTGGTACTAGTACAGATCTAACATGATTAATTATAATGTAGATGGGATGTAAAACCAAATTTTAACTTACAGAGAAACATGGAAACCAAAACATTACTGAAAGTTGGATGTTAATTTATTATGGAAACAGAGTTACTGCACTGCTTAACTCATTTACTCTGCTCTTTCTTATTTGTTCTGTAATCACATGCAGAACAATTTTGGATATATTACAATACGATTACAAATTTACTAAAAAGTTTTATTAAACTGTAAGTAAACTTTATTTCTTGAGATACTAGCCTCAATCAGGTAGCTTGTATTATGAGGTAGAATGTGCTAATAAAATACACATATATAGATAACAGATTCACACACATTATGATAAAGCATGAAATAATCTTGTTTTGAAGTCATTTCATTATGCCTAATAAACACTGAACATTTGACAAAATTAATGAACACTAGAGAAAGGATAAGCAAAAGGCTCCATGCATTTTGCTATTAAAAATGACAGGCTGCTCTGCTTATAATGGCAAAGTAATGCAGCTGCCATGATGACAGAACTGTGGACAATTTTTTACTACTGTTTTGTTTTTTACTGAATGATTCTAAAATCAAGTTATTGAAACAATGTAGTAAATTTTAATTATATCTGTATAAATACATATTGGTACTGGGCTTCAGTATAAGTCAAACTTATGTAGACTTCCATATACTACCTCTTAAACATTAACAGTTAGCATCTTGTAGGGGAGGTGGGTTATCTCCTCCTGGAGGACTACATGAAGGCATAATGTATATACAACTTTTAACTGTAAAACCCAGAAATGACAGTAAGAACTTAGATTTTATTGTGAGTTCTAATATTCTGTTGTATGAGTGTTCTCAATTTCTGATTGACACTGACATTATTATGTATGAACAAGTAATTTGAATTGCTTCATCCGATCAAATCCTTTACATGTTTGTACTCATTTGCAACAGAAGAATTTTAACTCCCTCTCAGCAGGTTGAAGACAGATTACCCTTTAAGTGCACCTTATCTAAAAGAGAGCAAAATGCAGCTACAATAGTATACTTTTATGGAACGATTAATAGTTCCAGATGAAATCAAGCTGAACTGTGAACTTTGTTCTTCCACGGCTATGTTTAAGATGTTATTGTCATGTACTTTTGTGTCCTATGTATTTTCTAATTAAAACCTTTATGCAACATGATTTTTACATGAACATGTATGATATGGCAAATATCAGTATTTTTATTACCACTTTAATGTATAATGTACATGGGTACCACCAAATGAATTTTGATTTTACAAGGATCAAATTGACACTAGCTGTATGTTAGTCATATTTTTACAGACTTGATAATAAAAAACTATGACTATTGTTAATTTTACATTTTGAAAGTCTCAAGAACATTTTATTGTACAGAAGAAAGACTCTCAGTGTTACTTTCTGATTCTCTGCAGATCCAGATATAATGACACTGGAGCCAGCTCAGATATGGCTAAAGCAAGCATGATTTGCAGGGCTTGAAGCACAGAACTTGTCCATTTAAAGTAAAGTTAATAATTTTAAAAAGGAAGAAGCAGGCTCACACATCTTACTAGAGAATTATGACAAAGAGACCTCTTTGGAAAGAGCTAAGGAGAATTGCTCATTACTTCTACAAACCCTAAACCGAGAAGATCACTATAGTTTCAGTGGGAGAAGTTACTTGACCTGTATGCTGTTTCTTATATGCACAGCATACCTTTGTTCCATGTTGGACAAATGAACTCTTATCCTGACCATACCAAACTTTGGAACTGTATGACTACCTCCTTAACAGTTAAGCATGTTTTCTCCATTTTCAATGCATTCATGCATTTGATAAACTGGGCTGCAGTCCATGAAACCACACTACAATAAATCTGTTAGCCTTGCAGGTTCTGTACAACTCTCAGCTGTATTTTAAATGAAACCTCTGATTCATTACATTACATTACATTAAGAATGTCCTCTTTGGTGCCCAATGTTTGTATGTAAAGCTGATTGTCTTGGCATGGTTTTGGCAACTGATTGATCAAATTAAATAGCAAACCCAACTCAGAAAACTCTTAAATTGTATCAATAATGGCAGTAGTATCATATAAGTAGCTAAGTTCACTCATTATGGTGAGTGAAGACAGGACTGCAAATTCTCTATTGTTGCAATGAGCTATTGCAGGGAGGAAGTGAGATCAAATCTGCCCTTTGGGGGCAAATTGTACCCTGTTCTCCCTTTCTGTTTTGTTTTGCAGTGGTCCTCAGAAAAAAGACGCTTCTGTGTGTGACGTGCATGAAGATACATATCCCCATGCTTTTCAGAAATGTGTGGCCCCTTCTTCTAGACAGGGTTTTTTTAATCATTCAATTTTTCTTAATTAGTTGCTAATTAAGGAAAGCATCATGCGGGGACTCTGCCTCCACCAATTCCATTGCATTTAGGAACCCAGTGTGGCTTTTGTGCTTCTAAAAATAACCCTGTATAGAGAAACACTTGTTTCCAATTGGGAGAGGTCAGCGGAGTTCCTTTCTGTAAACTGTTGACCTGTCCTCTTCTGGAAATGAGGATTCCACTAGTTCCACATTATTTTTAGAATGGCAAAAGCCCTGTTGCACAAGCAGTGGGTCGCATAAGAATAAATACACAACAGAATACTATCTTCTATATCTGTATAAAGTATTGTCATTCTTAAAATATCCAAAACAAAACAGGATCTAAAGAAGACAACATAAAATTATAATGAAAATACAATACTGTATTTTTCCGTGTACAAGACAATACTTTGTCTTTAAAATATTTACCTAAAAATGGAGAGGCTGAGAGGAGAACCGCGATTGTGAAACTACCGATACCTTATCCCTGCAAACTAGCCTCATGAGCCAAACTTCTGATTGCAGAGACGAACTAACAGGTTTCCTCCAAACATGAGCCTTATGTAACTGGTGTCAGCTGGTGCTGCGGAGAACGTGGAGCCAGTGCCCAGGTGCCACAGGGAGTGGTAATGTCGGAGCATTCTGAGCCCATAAAAATGTCAGAAAACAAAAAAGTGATTTGCTCAGAGCTCAGTGTGATGCATAATATCATAGTACTGGTATGTAAACATTGCCTAATCACTACATAAAAATGTCTTCTGTTTAATGTTTAAAATACTGATTTCTGAATTTTGGGTAAGAAAAGTGGGGGGAGGGGGGCATCCCATACATGGGGCATCTTATAGATGGAAAAATACAGTAAATGGTAAAAGAAACATTTGCTTAACCACTTTCTAAAAGCTTGAAGAAAGATAACCAGAAGCCAACAAATTTTAGAAAGGAGTTCCACAAAGATGGCATCACAACAAAGAAAGCCCTGACTCTGGATGCATTGGACTTCAGATGATGAGGGAACTTGCTATTCATTCTCTCCTGTGACTTAAAAGCATGGAGCAGGGGACTATGGGAAGAAATGCCACTTCAGTAGTAATCTAGTAAAACTGAGTTGGAAACATCTCTATTATAACCCTCTGGTAATGCCAGTGTTAGGACTGTAGTGTTACTTTGGATGCCTGTAACCATATAGTCACTGCTTTCTGTTTCTTTGGCAACTAATGTCTGGAGCAGGTTCTGCATGACAGAAGGTTGCATACACAACTTACGTAACCATAGGCGTGTACTTTGCACCCATTGTTTATTTTTTTCAGATGAGAGCAGGCTGGCCTTTTACTCGCACTGCACAATGACTTGATCCTCAGGTTTTCTTTTTGTAGTCAAGAAGGCAGCTTTGCTTTGGGAATCCATGCTGTGTTTACATATGTGATCTTGTTCACAGGTGAAATTCCTGCAACACTGGAAATGGGAAATGTGCAGAAATACCATGATATTGAGATGGCACTGGGGATACATGAACAAGTGGGGAGAGGAGGAAGCTGCCGTTCCAAAAAACAAAACAAGCAAAAAACAACCACCCCCTGGCACACCTTCAGTGCTGAAAGCATAAGTTTTCACAGTGGGGGTTATTTATGTTCTTCTTCCACTGACAAAATAGCTTTCCCCACTACTAATATACTGCTACTTTTTAACGGATAGTTTTTGTTTTGTTTTGTTTGATATTATTGTGAACATTTCCCCCTAAAATTGACTTAATGGTTTTCTTTTAGCTGAAAAAGATTGACATTATAACACAGAACAAGAAATCTTAACCAAATGAGTTGAGATCTTATTAGAGTAAGACTGATTACAATAAGAAATTAGTTGGTGTAAAGCAATAGTAAAAGATCCTAAAAGACAATGCAGTAAAAGTGCTATACTCAATATGCCAGCAAATTTGGAAAACTCAGCAGTGGCCACAGGACTGGAAAAGGTCAGTTTACATTCCAATTCCAAAGAAGGGAAATGCCAAAGAATGTTCAAACTACTGCACCATTGCACTCATTTCACATGCTAGCAAAGTAATGCTCAAAATCCTACAAGCTAGGCTCCAGCAGTATGTGATCCGAGAACTACCAGAAGTGCAGGCAGGATTTCGAAGAGGGAGAGGAACTAGAGATCAAATTGCCAACATACACTGGATCATGGAGAAAGCTAGGGAGTTTCAGAAAAACATCTACTTCTGCTTCATTGACTATGCTAAAGCCTTTGATTGTGTGAATCACAACAAACTGTGGCAAGATATGGGAGTACCAGACCATCTCATTTGTCTCTTGAAAAACATGTATGAAGGTCAAGAAGCAACAGTGAGAACTGGATATGGAACCACTGATTGGTTCAAAGTTGAGAAAGGAGTTTGGCAAAGCTGCATACTGTTGCCCTGCCTATTTAACTTATATGCAGAGCACATCATGAGAAAGGTGGGGCTAGATGAATCACAAAATGGAATTAAGATTGCCAGGAGAGATATCAACAACCTCAGATATGCAGATGAGAGCACTCTCATGGCAGAAATTGAAGAGGAACTAAAGAGCCTCTTGATGCGGGTAAAGGAGGAGAGCGTAAAAGTTGGCTTGAAACTCAAAATTAAGAAAACTAAGATCATAGCATCCAGTCCTATCACATCCTGGCAAATAGATGGGGAATAAATGGAGGTAGTGACAGATTTTATTTTCTTGGGCTTCAAGATCACCACAGACGGTGACTGCAAAAAATTAAAAGACGCTTGCTCCTTGGGGGGAAAGCTATGTCAAATCTAGTCAGCATATTTAAAAGCAGAGACATCAGCCTGCTGACAAAAGTTTGTATAGGCAAGGCTATGGTTTTCCCAGTTGTAATGTATGGCTGTGAAAGCTGGACCATAAGGAAGGCTGAGCGCTGAATGATTGAGGCCTTTGAATTGTGGTGCTGGAGGAGACTCCTGTGAGTCCCTTGGACTGCAAGGAGATCAAACCAGTCAGTCCTAAATGAGATCAACCCTGACTGCTCTTTAGAAGGCCAGATCCTGAAGATGAAACTCAAATACTTTGGCCAGCTAATGAGAAGGAAGGACTCCCTGGAGAAGACCCTAATGCTGGGAACAATTGACTACAAAAGAATAGGGGACAGCAGAGGATGAGGTGGCTGGATGAAGTCACTGAATCAGTGGGTGTGAGCTTAAGTGGACACCGGGGGATGGTGGAGGATGGGAAGGCCTGGAGGAATGTTGTCCATGAGGTTGTAATGGGTCGGATGCAACTTCGTGAAGAGCAACAACAAAAGTGGAGAAATTATTAAAATGAGAACAGTCAGAACCCTTACTTTCACTACCAAAACAACCCAGATTTCTAGGACATCTTTATGAACTGTTTTTTAGGGAATTATAGGAGGCTATTCCGATCCCCTGGACAGCCCAGGCAGAGATGCATCCTAATATGCACTTCAAAACTGCCCAACTATTGTCTCTGCCAGTACAAAAGAAACTGCTAAATGCTTGATGAAATATGAACAAAGAACCATCCATTTGTTCTGTAATTTTCTACAAAAGGGGCACTCCAACCCTTGAAATTCTGCACCTTATTTTTGAGTGGTAAAAGTGGTGCCAGGAGAGGAAAAAACTTCAAGCAGCTTTTTCAGGGTAGGGCTCCCCATTACTGATTCAGTAGCTCAGCTACTTTGTTTTTCCTAAGGTGTTTAGGCTTTGGTTTTGTTTTTAATTTGCTCCTGCAACGAGTATTGAAAGTCTGACCGACATTTTGCATTCTCCACAATGCCGCTGATCTAGTGTCATTTTGTTGGCAAAAAACTGGTTGGCAAAAAAGAAAAAAAAGTCAAGCATATCGAGACGATAACTATCTTCCAAGAAATTTCAGTTCTAAGACTGCTTCTCCTTCAATACTAGGAAGTAGTTGCTGTTTCTCCTTCTAATTTCTACTTGTAGTTGTATGCTTGGCTTTGATTCTTGGTCCTGTTTTCTCGTATATTGTCCATTTCTACGAGCAGACATGGTGCTCAGCCTGCTGTCAAACCAAGAAATTCTTATTTCAGCCTAAGCTTAGACAAGTGGGGAAATTTGCACTTTCTCTTCAGAAGGAGAAACTGCAACCTCTCTGACTATTTTGTTTTGCTTAGACGGGACTAATGTCAAGAGCAGACATAGTCAAGCACCTGCTGAGGGTTCACAAGCCAGCAGGGGCTCCCTGCAAGACCTCCCGGGACTTGCTCCTTCTCGTCACCATTGCGACTTGCATGTTCACCTGCATCTTGTCCTGGCCCAGGCAGTGGTGGCAGGGAAAAGGAAGAGCAGCAGATGCCACTGCCTATTTGCTCGCTGCTTCTCTGCCTGTCAAACAAACAACTACAACGACATATTTCAGTAAAAACTTTACAAAGGAAGTGAAAAGGGGGGAGCTTTTACTTTCCGATAAATTACCCATTGTCTGCCACTCCTCCATGCATTGAAACTATCAGTTCCTCTCAGCCCCTTAAAACATGCACTGCATAAACAAAAACAATAGCTTTTTATAAACCAAATTTCTGGCAGCATCTAGAAATACTTTTTTTAAAGTGGGTTATCACTGTAACTCTTGTTAGCTGGAGCAATATTTTGGTTCAAGTTTGATATTTTGAAAAATGCAGTCAAAAAGTGTGCTAGCACTGATGGCACAGAGATCAGCCCAGGTCTCTGCTTTGTTTAGCTTTGCCCAGCTGCTACTGGAGTTTTCCAACAGTGAGAACCAACATGCTTGCTTGCTCCGGCTTTGTTCACAACAACTCGTGCTTTAAACAAACCATGGGTCCTTCTTTGTGGTCTCTGTGGAACCCACATGTGTGAATGCACAGATGACCACTCAGAGAGCGACAGTTAGAAGCAAGCAACCTGCCTTTGCTGCCGCATAAAACCACATTGTGCATGTGAAGCACGTTCAGCTGCCCATGTCAAGTTCATGTCTCAAAGGGCATCTACACCTATGCTTCATTTCTATCCTCAAGGAGTCAGAGTTTCTCCAGTAAGGGAAAAGATAGAAAAAGTACTAGTAGAATGCAGGGCAGAGACAAATGGTTGATGGTACCGCACAGACCAGTGTGCGTGAACAAGGGAAACCTGGGAGCCACATTCCAAGTGACCTCTTTTGGGCCAGCTAGCAAGCAAAGTGAAGATACAACCAATAACTGAGACTTCGCATCTTCTGCATTAATACGTAGCATGTATTTTTCCCTAGAGAAAAATAAATGGACAGGATGGAGTAACTCCTCCATTCAATTATCATTTAATTTATAATGCCAATTAGGTTGGCCAACTTGTCATGGCCTGCAGGGAACATTAATGTCTGAGAAAATAATTTATGAAAGCTACAATTAAAATTGGAAGGCAGGAAAGTTACTGAGCTGGTTAGTCAGAATGTGTCCTCATGTTATTTTGTATTTGCCATATTTCATGTTTGCACTGAAACCTAGAAAGATGCCCTTAAGTAAGCCGCAAAATTTTGTGAGGATAAAATGGAGAGGAGAAAAATTATGGGTATGGGAAGAGGCAAGATAGAAATGTAACAAACATAAAATGTGGCATGAACCCCAAATATGTTCAGACAGGTTCTGAACCCAAGATTAAAGGGTAAAACATTTATTGGTCCAATTTATATAGCTGTGGTGCACAGATGGGGTGCTGAGGCCTGTATTCAGTGCAAGATGGCCACATTAACTCTTC